TAGGAATACTGCCGGATCAACAGGCTGACGGGAAAACGGACGCATGAAAATAAGCTTTAAGCATAATTCTCACTTGCGCGAAATTCGCTCTTTTTTGACATTGCTTTCACAATTTGACGTTCGATACATGCATTAAACGTCAAATTGTTGAAGCAATGTCAAAAAAGAGCGACTTTCGCGCAAAAAGAGCGAATTTCGCGCAAAAAGAGCGAATTTCGCGCAAAAAGAGCGAATTTCGCGCAAAAAGAGCGAATTTCGCGCAAAAAGAGCGAATTTCGCGCAAAAAGAGCGAAATTCGCGCAATTGAGAATGAGGCATTATGCTTAATCCGGAACCCGGAGGTGACTTGCTATTGAGAAACCAGCCCTTCAATAAACCTTTACATACAGTAGCGACAATAGAGATCTCGCCACCATTTTCCCTTACTGCTTGCTAATTTTTTAAAAAAATGTTGTATCCACTGTTTTTTTGACGCCTCATAAACAAACCTTATGTGATTACAATCACTACAATCAGTTTATTCAGATCGAAAGAATACCTGGATTATTAGGTACCATCGTCACCAAAAGTATCTGGGAGAAAAATAATTTATATTAATCTCCTGGACTAATTCTACCAGCATTCATTTCAATGTATTTAAACACTATTTAAATGATAGTTTGACAAATATTTGACACTAAAATTCATATAATAGTACAAGAGCTAATATGATGCTGTCCCAGTTACTTTTGGTGACGATGGTACATCGGGTAGATCAAATACGTTGTTTTCAATTTTTTATGATGGTTGGAGAATATGGCGGTGTTTCCAATAAGATCATATGGGATTTTAAAGAACCAATCAGAAATACGGCAGTAATCGTTGCCACTGTAGTTTAATAGAGTCACTGTAGATAAATGTAAAATACACTACAGTGGCTGATTACACCAGTTATTGTGGCGCCATCTCTGATTTTCAAAGAGAAAGAGCATATTGTGGCAACGCTGTCCGTGGCCAAGGATGATACACACTACTACTACAGGATAGCCTACCCTCGATGCCTTTGTGGAACAAATCTGAAGCCCCCCACCACGCCAGAGCACCAATTGTGACGTAGGCAGCATGTCCTTTCTCGCCTTGACGTAGGCTCTTTGCACCACGGGTTATGATTCTGCGGGCTTTTGCTTTATGCATGCTTGGTTTTACTACATTAATTAACATTTTAAAACAATCCTTTTTTAGATCTCGTTTTCATCTTCCTCTTTGCCTATTATGTTAAACAAAATTGGATGAAATTTTACATCATACATTTGAATTTTAAACTAGGACTGCTGGCGCAAACAGCTGAAAACTTAGTTAATGGCGTCGGCAATGGTGATACACCAATATGGCTGGGATTACCAAAAACGATGCAATCCTTAGTAGTGTATCCTTGAAAGTAAGCCACGTCCAATGTAGTAAGAAGGTTGGAATAGCCCTTTGCCTATCTACTCAATACATATTTTTGCGGCCAACATTAGAGTGAGAGTGAGAGAACAGGAGAGATCCATGAGATTTTCTTGCCCTTACTAGCGCTATCTCATTCTGGAATCAATTGATTGACGCAAAGCATAGGAGTTAATAGGAGAATTGCTACAGTGACGACAATTGCCATCCTATTTTTGATTGGTTCTTTAGTTTATCCTGTATATTTATATTGAAAATGCGCAAGAATATGGCGACGTGGGCGTCGCTATACTTTCAGACAAGGTTTTAGATTATTATTTAAAATAAGCAAGAAAATGGCGGCGAGACCTCTATCACAGAGCCTCTGTTGTCTGTCACCACTGGGTGTAAAGTTTTATTGAGTCACTATAAGCTCTGTTCCGACAGAAGACGTTAAAACCGTTCCAGATCTAGTAATTTCCAGTTGCCCACCTATTTTTCAATAAGTTGAACGTTCATCCTAATTAAAAAATGAATTGATCAACTGGAAATTACCGTTCTCTACAACGATTCTTATGTAAATGGGCGCTTTCTTTTATTCAGCAATGGAACCATCTGCTGCCAGCATTATGAGACAGATATTCCTATTTTTTATGAGCTAGACAAAGATAGGCTGATTACCGATGGAACTACCGCTGAATCAAAGAAAGCGCCCAATATGTTGGAACAGAGCTATAGCTTACACTTTGAATATAAAACTACAGGAAGGAGCATAACTTCGAACCTGCGCGACCAAAATATGTGGAGGTTGCATATGGCCGCCTAGTATTTCCGGTTTGGCAGTCAAGGAGAATAAACTTACTAAGGAGTGCTTATCAGCCCCTTTTTGGGTAATTGCCGCCATATTGGTTTTCAACTGTTTCCAACCACTGCTGACGTCATAACAAAGTCGCCAGCTGTTTGCGCCAGCGGTTTTATAAATTTATAATTTGTCATGAAAAATATTTTATTTTGATTTTGATTAACCATTATAGCGGGTAAAGGTACCCTATGCTATGATGGAACCAGTAGCGCGATATCTGGCTAGCTTTCGTCATTCCGCCTATTTACACGTTTTCAGCATGTATGATTTAATGGAGCCCTAGGAGAATTACGCGGCGTTTTGTTTACATTTCTTTATGTAAGTATAATAACTATAAGATAATTTATTCTATACTATTTAATTGTTTTTAGGGTTTTCTCATATTATTATAACATATTCCTATTCGAGCATAAATTGTTTGTTTATGTATTATATTCTTGTAAATATTACTGTCCCATATGGCATATGGGCCTGGGCAGAAGCTAACATTTTTAGCTGTACTTACATTTTGTTTGTGGAATTAGCCATCAGGAAGCTTTGAATACTGCTTATGATAATGAAAATGTTGATGGCATAATATATCGAGCCCACACAGAAAGCAAAGAGCTCACTGACTAAGATTCAGCAGATGAGGAACGTGGTTTTGACTTATCTACTAGGCAACTTTTGTGCTAGTGCAGAAATTGTTTATTCGAATGGGAAATATATCACAGGTAGAGTAGAATTAACAATTTTTTGGGAAATCATACAATTTTAACTTTATTTTTATTTTCAGACATACCCGAGGAAATATAAAGTACCACCTTGCGCTACAGGAGAATATGCTTCGGGCTGCAGCAAGTGATTTTTGTGTCAATAATGATATAAGGTATTATGGACTGCATCATTATTGAAACACTTTTCCTGAACGTAAAAAAACGATGTGGTGGTCAAAACTGTAGCAGCCAAGGAAGAACAATGTGCTGCAAATGCAATATCGACTTATTTATTCACTGTTCTCGAAAGTTTCACACTGGGTAATAATTTTCACCCATAATGCTGCTCGTGATGATGCAGGCCAAAATTCATTATAATCTATTTCGTTTATCTGACCCGAAATGATTATATCTATACAACAGCCTAACCGGATCTTTTTCTTATATTTTTGTAAACTTTCTACAATAGGACATTGCCAAAAGGGTCTCAAGGCTGGTATGGATCTCCCTTATAATGTCTGTATTTGAATAACTTGTATGTGTAATAAATAAATAAACATTTTATAAATAACTCTTTATTTTAATTTATAAATAGGTGAAAATTAAATTAACAAAGTCAAATAACTTGACCACAAATCTGATTTTTACTCGAACTACCTATAATATAATACTGGTAATTAGGATTTAATAAACACTTTACACGTTCTGCTGTTTGCTCGGCCATTTGTATGCCTATCTGAGAAGAGTTTAATAATTGATTAAAAGTATAAGTATAACTACATTCATTACTTGTATCAGTCTCACTAGAATCTTGATTTCTTTTTCTTTCGGCAAGTTTTTCAGCACCCATGGAATCTATTTTTTGGCTCGGTTTATGGATCACTATAGAATAGGGCAAATTCTGGGATGGTACAACTGTTTTTTTCAATATCCGACCTCTACCTGTACCTCTAAGGGTCGGTATTATAAAACTACTTTGAGAGTTAACTTAAAGTTAACTTCTGGAATTACATGTAATTCAAAAAGGTAACTTTAAGTTAACTGTCAAAGTAGTTTTATAATACCCGCCCTAAGACCTGTACTCTCACCTGTAAATAATAAAAACAGTCAATATTTTCAAACAAAACATTTTAAAAATAGATAGTACTTGATAAATGCCTAGAAGCAGGCCTAAAATGAAGCTGGGGCACAAAACTATCCATTATGCTTGTTTACCTTAACACAAAATTCTTGCTTAATTGAGATGCAGAGAATACACTTTCATGAATTTGGTGACTGGTTTGCCAATACGAAGTTTTAAAATCCAGTAGGCTTTTCTTCTCGACACTTCTTTTTCGATTTTCGTTTCCAAATAAACCCGTGGGCCTGTTTCAAGGGGAAATATGTAGAAACTCAATCCTTTGTCAGCTTTTTTTTTTAGCCCAAGACTTGCATTGAGGAACACAACAGTAATGATTAAAAGTCATGATTATATGTATCTGATATAATTTTATAATTTTAGACTTTAATTATACTAGAAACTAGTTCCAAAATTTCCAGCCAGCAGCCAGATCATAACATAACCTGTGGTGCAAACAGCCTACGTCAAGACGAAAAACGCCATGATGTTTACGTCACAACTGATTTTTTGGCTAGGCGGGGTAGGGGGGGATTTGTTACACACAGGCCTTATGAGGATAAGCCATCCTTAGTAGTGTGTATCATCCTTGTTTGGCAGTGGCGTATATTTATTTAAATATGATTGTCAATATTATGACTCACTCTTTTCTCACTAATTTCAGTACTTATTGTCACTTAAAACTGCTAAAATCCATTAAACATCCACTTGAATGAGGACACAGCGAACCACCAAAACAAATGATGAGTCCATACTTGGAGTCTCAATATGGCCGTTTCTGTGTGGTAATGACCATTGGTAATGACAGATAGAAAACGCTCCTTCCTTCAAAGATTACACTGGTTATTGTGGCGCCATCTTTGATTTTAAAAGAAAAAGAGCCTGTGGCAACGCTGAGCTTGTCATTGATTTGTCACTTGTCATGTTTGAATTGTTTTGATCTCATAAACATAAACAAAAACAAACAAATAATACAATAATTAATAATTTTGTAAAATGAATAGAGATAATTACGAAATTTCCGAAACTCTCAAGCTAGCAAAATTATACATTGAAAACTTGAATAGCCTAAAAACCGAAATACATTGCGTAGAAAAGCAAATCGCGACCACTTACAGTGAAACTGAGCAAAATATCAAAGAAACTTTTTCTAACCTCAAAGAAGTTTTAAGGAAAACTTTGGAAAGAAGAGAAAAGAAATTGTTGGAGAAAGCCGAAAAAGTAAGGGAACCTTCTATGTTCGTATTTGTATTATATGTATATTACTATGCTATTTCCATTGTTCTGTTATAAATTCCAATATTCACCCAAACTCAAAGATATACCTACCCAAGTATCGTATCCTGAAAAAAAAGCCCATCTGTAGCTGGAAAGTAAAAAGGAATGAAAGGATTGTTATAAACTTTGTCAGTGAAGAAATTGTAAATGAGAAAGTTTCTAAATGCCATAGTAAAGAGCTCGGTAAAGAGAGTTCTCTGAAACTTTCTAGATGGTCGATATTACTGAGAAATTCTTTTTAGCCTGTTCCTGTTAAAGAAAAAGGGATGACAAAAGCCTTCAATATCAATTTCTTTAGCTCTGTTCCAACAGACACGAGAACCAGTAATTTCCAGTTGCCCATCTATTTTTCAATAAGTTGAACACCTCTGAGGTTGAACATTTATCCTAATTGACAAATGAATTGATCGACTGGAAATTACCGTTCTAGAACGGTTCTCATGTCTGTGGGAACAGAGCTTATGTAAGGTTTTTATCTCTACTAACTTGTATCTAGAAATTATTCTGTCTTGCCATTTTGTCAAGAATCTAGAGAAAATCCCGCTAAAAGTTTTGTGTTTATTGTACCAGAATTATTTTGGAATCTCTTCACTTCAAGTATACATTTTCATTTCCTTCTAGGTAAAAAATGAAGGTGTTCTACCTCTAAAACAATGTGAACAAGTCATAGAAAAAAACATACAACACACGCTCAAACTGATCGATGAAGGTTCCCAAATCACTGACAAAGATCAAAGTAGAATAATAAATTTCCTGGAAAAAGCAGGTATTTTGGGCAATTTACCAGAAGTGCCTGAGTCGAAAGAAGTGCCTTATATTTCTTTTTACCATGAACCAACTGTAGGAAATGAATTAGAGAATTTATGTTTGAATTTTGGAGAAGTGTTTAGAACTGCACCAATACAGGTAGGCATAGGAGCTAAATTTACTAAAATATTATCTTGTATAAGCCTTTATTGTTAAAGAAGATTGACACTGGAAACCCACAATTTATTCCCTTCATAACTAGCTTCATTGTGTCTGCTTCTTTGACCATTTAAATCCTATTAGATAGGCCTGAAAAGGTCAAAAGATAGATTTTTGTCAGACATATCCTCATATTCCTGAAATTTCTGTTGTCTAGATTAATACTGTCTCACCTAAACCTGGTGCTTTATTGATTCAATGGCAACAATCCTATGAAAATAACGATGACCGTGTTAAAGATATACAAGAGTTTAAACTTCAAAGAGCCTTTGGTGATGTTATCAAAGAGAAAAAATTAGCAGTCAATTTCATTGATTGTTACACAGGTAGGAATCTCAGCCTATTCATGCATAAAAAATAAATATATGTATTATTTCTTCAGGTACTGATTTCCAATATCTTCAAAGAGACATACAAATATCTCAAACTTATTCATTTAGAGTTTGTTGTAAATTCGATGGTACCACTGAATGGAGCCCTTGGTCTGTACCTCAAGTGGGTGCAACGGATACTCCGTGGTTTTCTTGGATGTCTACTGATAAAGTAATCTTATCTAATGAAAATAAAATTGTAACTTCTAAAGAGGTTGGAGTTTTGGTTTTTTCTGATGGTCCTCAAGTTTCTTTGACAGATTCTGTAGAGTTTAGTGTAAGTAAAACAATAACAGCTATTTATTATAGAGGATTAAAAAATAGTTCTTTTAGATAATAGAAGTTGATCCTAAATCTGAAATGATGGTTGCTTTATGCATAGAAGATCCCAAGGGGCATAAAAATCTTAAAGATATGTCTGAAATATTTATGGTCAGTAGTAATGGTAGAATTTCAGTTGCTGGAGTGGAAAAATCTACTGTTTTAGCCAGTTTTAGTAGAGGATTAAAGGTAACATGGGAAACTTTTCCTTTTATAATTAATACATTTCAACTCTTAGGTTGGTTTTTCATTAGAACCAATCAACCCAGTTAAAGTAAGAGTCCATGTGGACTGCAAAGAAAAACGTGTGACTTATGATTGGTCGATAAAAGAAAACTCAAAGTTGTATTTTGCTTGCCAAATGATGTCGTCAATGTGGAAAGTTATGGTTGAATAATTTGTTGATTGGGAAATATTGGATTATGTGCCAAATTTATGATGACAGCTTCAAGCCTGTTGGTGATTTATTTTAGGTAAATATGTATATCTTGACTTTATTATCTTATTGTTTATCGATCTAAATATGTTTTTTTCTTGAGAATTTTTGATATACATTATATACTTGGGACTAAAACTATATTTTTTGATAATAGGTATCTTTTAACTAAGAAATCAATTTTTTACTTAGCAAGATAAGTGTGCAATGATAAATGTGTATTTTCTTGCAAACTGCAACTATCTATCCTCACTTAAGTTTAAGAAAAGTTAGTTATATTTTTTGGTTTGTGAATGGATGTATAAGTATTGTTTGTATACTAGGTACTAAGATGGTTATGAAAAAATTTAATTGTTTGATAATTTTGGTTTGAGATTAATATTGGGAAGTTCTTTCTCACAAGACAAGAATATAAATGAATCTAACAGAAAAAAAGTCCATCGTTTTTCTTTGTGTAACAAACAGGTGTGTACCCTGCAACATTCTTATCCTGAAAAGGATTGTTGTGGAACCACAAGGGTTATTTTTCTCTTTGCCCTAAAAATATTTAGGTTCAATCTCCTACAAGGATCATAAATACAATGGTGGTTAGTTAATGCACAAATCCTCGCACAAATCATCACATAATGAGTCAGGTCTTTTTCTAAAAAATATTTATTTACAGCAATACAATATTTACAGGACAGTAAGTACATTTAAATAGCTAAAATGACGATTACAACTGGCAATATATATAATATTTAACGATAATGATAACATTAAACGACTTATCATCTTCGGCTAGCAGCTTCGAAACATGCAAAAGAATAATGTAATCAAAACCAGCAATGCATCAAAGTAATTCGTTTTATATAGGAGCTTAGAATTATTACAACTCAGTACAGTATAGTGGTTTAAGAAATCACTTAATAATAATAGGTAAAATGGTTAAATAAGTGCATTATAAATATGTTACAATAATCATTCATACAAACCAATTACATCCATATCGAGTCTATAAATTTGCCTACATTAGACGAGGTATAATAAAAATGTGGAAAATCATAATCTAATAAATTGTGAAATAAATTTAGTACCAAAATTGGTGCGCTAATGTAGGCAATACCTATTCTATTCTTAAAATAGTAAAAATCTTAAAGTAAGTCGTGCATACCTGTAATAATTTTCTTTATGACGTGTATATTCTAATAAGTTGAAGTATGTATTGAGCACTTTTAGATTATTCTATTTAAAGTACACAGCTTAGCAATTATTGTCTAAGAAAATTTAATTCGTTATCGTTTCCTACCAAACCGAGACGCAATCGTATATAAACTATTTAACAATTGTAATGCCCTCGTGTCCTGATCCTCTTCTGTCAAATGGGGATGTACTAGTTGCCCCAAAGGATGGTTTTCCGCGTTCCGCCTTTCAGTTTTGGCACTAGCAGCAACTGTTAGTGGTTCACTTTTGCTACTAGAAGTTAAACCAAGTTCTTCACTAATATTAGCACCACATTCGCTAATAAGAAGCAATATTAGACGTTTTGTTAAAGGGTTAGATTCTATTTCTTTCATTTTATCAAGGAATTCATCCTCAGAGGTGTTGAGCTTTTTAAGGATTCTATGGAGACGGTTTTGTTCGGTTGTGTGATTCATAAATTCAATTAATATGCCATGCACTTGGGTTGAATTTAAGGCTAGGGGTGGTAATTGTCTTAGGTCGTAACTAATTTCTGATTGGGGCTCGAATTCCGAAAGAACTTCCTGATTAAATAGTTCGGGTTCTGTTGTTTCGTCTTCCAACGACGATTGGGTTGTTTCAAAGTGATCATTGACACTTACTGGATTTACCTATAAATAAAAAAAAATGTTTGTTTTAGATTATTTTAGTGAGATGATTTTTTTTACCTTTAAAGTTTTCTGCCATAATTGAGTCACTCGCGGACTAGAAGTCCAATGACCAAGAGGTAACTCAGTGAAACCTTTTCCTTGTTTTTCATTTACTTGTACGCTATTGAATTTGGGTACAAATGATTGAGAATCTGCAGTATTAAGGTCAGGGTTAATTGAATTTCTAACATCTTCGAAAGGGTTGTTCTGAGCTTCCACTGCTAGTATAGCTCCCCAAGTGGCCGATGGGATTGGGGCTGTGGTGCTAGGTTTCAGATCCGCGTCTGAGAAGTTTAAAAGCTCGTCTTCAGTGGTACCTAAATAAGTTATCATTTTATCAAACAAGTTTTGGCAAATAAACACTTACTTTATTCTCAAATAGTTCTAGATTTTGGAAAAATTTGAAAGGTCATAACTTCTTTTCTATTATAGATAAAAAGCTGAAATTTTTACTGAATCTTATCTCAATAAAGGGACCACAATCCTTGAAAATTTCAGCTCATTTGCACTTATAGATCCTGAGATAAAATCGTGTTAAGCAATTTGGGGTGATTTATCAATTTTTCTGAGTGCGTTTTTTCGTAGATTTCGGCTTCAAATCTGAGAATAATTTACTGTATGGAGTTTGAGGGATGTTAATTGACCATTAGGATACAAAATCACAACAACAAAAAATATGAAATTTCCTCGTTTTAGTAAGCAGATAGCTACCTTATGATTTAGATTTTTTAAAACTTTGAAAGGTCATAACTTTTTTTCTATTATAGATAGAAAGCTGAAATTTTTACTGAATCTTATCTTAATAATGGGACTATAATCCCTAAAATTATTAAATTATTATATATAAAATTATTATTAAATAAAATTTCAGCTCATTTGCACTTATAGTTCCTGAAATAAAATCGTGTTAAGCAATTTGGGGATATTTATCAATTTTTCAATTTTTCTGAGTGCCTTTTTTCATAGATTTTGGCTTCAAATCTGAGAATAATTTAGTGTATGGAGTTTGGGGGATGTTAATTGACCATTAGGATACAAAATCTCACCAAAAAAAATTGAAATTTCATCGTTTTAGTGAGAAGCTAGCTACCTTAGGATTTAGATTTTGGAAAACTTAGAAAGGTCATAACTTTTTTTCTATTATCGATAGAAAGCTGAAATTTTCACTGAATCTTATCTCAATAAAGGGACTATAATCCCTGAAAATTTCAGCTCATTTGCACTTATAGTTCCTGAGATAAAATCGTGTTAAGGAATTTGGGGATATTTATCAATTTTTCAATTTTTCTGAGTGCCTTTTTTCATAGATTTCGGCTTCAAATCTGAGAATAATTTTAGGGTATCGAGTTTGGGGGATGGTAATTGACCATTAGGATACAAAATCTCAACAAAAAAAAATTTGAAATTTCATCGTTTTAGTAAGAAGGTATGTAGCTACCTTAGGATTTAGATTTTGGAAAACTTTGAAAGGTCCTAACTTTTTTTCTATTATAGATGGAAAGCTGAAATTTTCACTGAATCTTATCTCAATAAAGGGACTATAATTCCTCATTTGCACTTATAGTTCCTGGGATAAAATCGTGTTAAGCAATTTTGCCTTTTTCTAGAACAGGTATGATTGAGCGTGTGAAAATGTGCTTACAAATTGTATTCATTAGACATTTTAAGTTGGACCAAACACGTTAACGTAATCTTTAAACGTAAACCCTATTTTTTAATAAGGTACACGCAAAGACCCGCTAAATAACGTGACACGTAACACGCTATTTTTGGTGAAAAGAAACTGCGCATGCGCAGCTGTCAAATCTTACGTTAGCGTTAACGTATTTTGTCACGGACATCTTATGAGGATATTGCAAAATACTTAATAGCATCTGCGGGGTATTTAGTCTTGGGTATGTCCTAAGTATGTACAGGGTTATTGGTTATAAATGTCACCCCCTTTATCTTTTTCATTTGACATTTTAAAAAAAAGTGTCCCAAATAAAAAATTTATGGTTGAAATTAAATTTTTTGAAAAACTTACTTTTGCATATACAGGACGTTTCAAAAAAGCGGGTCGCGCTCCAACTTTCTTATTTTAAATTGAATACCCTGTATATGATTCAATATTCGGATTCTTCGTCAAATTCTGAGCAGATTTCATGTGATATACCCTATACCTAAGTTCAACTGTTTTGGAAATATTGACAGTTGAAAATTGACTTTTTTGCAAATTTGACATTTGGGACACTTTTTTCTAAAATGTCAAAAAAAAAAGATAGAATTGGGTGACATTTATAACCAATAACCCTGAGCCGCTTTCCAGTGCCTAAATTGTTAGAGTATCATGCTCCTGAAGTGTGACGCTCTTGAACTGTTCGACATAAGCAGCACTGGAACGCTCTCGTCTTAACCCCCACCATTTCGGATTTCAGGAGCATGAAACACAGGCAAAAGGGTTGGTGCACGAGGGGGCAGGGGATAACAGAAATGAGTAGCTCAAGTGTACGACACTCTAAGCACTGGCACGCGCAAAGCAATTGTGGAGCACTCCTGAGCTGCTCAGGAGTAACTCAAATGGGTCACTGGAAAGCACCTCTTTACATGAGGGTTTTCGTCGGAGGAACAATATGACGGACTGTCAGAATCGTTTGACATGACGTAATTTTCACTTACTTGATTCTGGATTATCACTGCCTTCTAATGGCGGTGGTTCAGACGGTCTCAAGCTTTCCAACTTTTTCCTGAAATTATCAGGATCGTTGAGGTAGCTAGAGAGTGCCAACGAGAAATTTCTTGCCAGTTGCCTTAGTTCGGGTACTGAGGTTGTTGGCAGAAGGGCGTCATCACCTGTAAATGTATTAATGAGTAAATCAAATAGAAAAAGATAACAGGATTATGACCATCAATATTATTGGTTTCTTCACTCCCAAATCTTGATGACGTTGAAGTAGTCGTTTCAGGCGATAGAGAGCTAGTAGCTGCTGTTGGGGTGGCAGTGGATCCAGTATTGAATAAATTGTTATAACTGAAATATAAATTTTAATTGTTTTTATTTAATTTCATTTTATTTGGAGTCTCACCCATGAACAGTCATTGCAGTCAATAAACTAGTCAATTTTTCTTTGGTTTCTGCTTCTCTGAAATTATGTGTTCCGTTGCTTTGAAGCTCGTTTGCGAAATATTGAGCTAGAGAATGAAGGGTCTGTGGACCGACTGATGGAGGTATGGCCAAACCTAAAAAATGGTGAAACTTGAAATAATCTCAAAAAATCTTGAATTTGAGTGGCAATACCTGGTCTAGCTTCTTGCGCACTCTCTTTTTGCGCATTAAAACTAACAATTTCTTGCAAAACCCCAATCATATTATCTACGTTATCGTAAACATTAAAACCTCCAGTACTTTGGGTGGCTCCAGGAGTTGCTGTAGTAGTCTCACTATGACCAAAAGGTCTGGCACTCGAAATATGGTACCTGGGGAATGACGAGCTCACGCCATCATTTACGGTAGTATCTAAAAAATATATACCTACTAAAACAACAATTTCCTGAAAAATAAAAAATAAGTCCTACCTTTGTTAAATTGTTCTTCAAACTGCAAACTCTTCGAAAAAGGTCTAGGTTTTTCGGTTTTGGACTTTAATGGTAAACCAGTATTAAAGCCACTAGAAGCATAATTTCTTGCTGAAGTTTGTTCATTTCCAAAACGCAATAGGGCACCAATTTTTTGTTGCTGAGGCTGTATTCTATTTCCATAGGCCACGTTATTATTGATCTGGCCACCAACACTTTTGGATAAATGAATCGATATTTTGTCTTTACCGTTATCAAATTTAATTGGTACTGCTTGGTTGAATGAGTAAGGATTTCTAGCGGTACTAGTAGCCGATAAACTTTGAGTTACTGTAGGTACTGTGGGACTATAAGGTGTGTTTTTAGATCTTTGGGTACTTGACGAATATGAACCATAAACTGTAGCGCGATCCACTGTTCTTTCAGTACTTTTTTGGCCATTATATAACAGTGGAACAGTTTTCTTGACGAAAGGTGGCTCATCTACGGGCTTTTGTCCTTCATAACTATTTTGCCCTACATTTAAACTCCCATGTTCAGGAATATTTATTCTAAATGGCGGTACTGTAGTTTGTTTGGGAACAATATTCGGTGTCAATGTGGTATCAGTGCTGCCAATATTGAATGTTTCTGTTGGAATTGCATTTGTAACTGCAGTAGTTGTCTCAATTGTAGGCAAAGTCTTATCAGTATTACCAACATTAAATAGATTATTTGTAGTACTTTCAACAGGTTGTGGAGGTCCATAAGGTGTAGCCTCAGTAGTACTATGACGCAATACACCAAATATCACTGTAGGCTTATTAGTGGTTGTAGGCAAATAAGTATATTTAGATTGAGTGGTCGGATGATTGGGTGGTAAAGTGTTACCAACACGACTACCAACAAAAGGTTTTCCATTGTTAATTGGTTGAGTGGTTACTAAATGAGGCGTTATAGAGGATATAGAAGATATTTTTGGTGGTTCCAATAAGCTACTGAACTCTTTTATATCAGAATAAGTACTTCTATGGTTTGGATACGGGCTTGGAGAAGTTTTGAAAGAATTATCAGTGATACTATTGAAGGAGTTTTTAACGAACGATGAAGATTCTTGAGGGATTTGAGTTTCATCGGATTCAGAATTTTGAGTTACATAAACAGGTATTTGGCCAGGAGAAATGGAATTTGTTTGTTCAGATTTATGTTTGGGGAATGGTGGTAGAGCGAAATCTTCATTTTTGTCATTTTGATTATTGAAGGCGTATTTTTTAGAAGGTGAATAGGTGGTTACTGGAATTGATTGGCCATAGTTGGCAAGTACGTTATATTTAACTGACCCACGGGATTTTTGTTGGTTAGGCTTAAGAGTCCTAGCATCATAGCTCTGGAATTTTTCTTTAATGCCTGAACCATAAGGAAACTCTTCTTCTGTGGTTGTGGTAGTTACTGGTGTAGTGGATGATTGAACATTTCTATAAGTTGATGGGGAAAATGTTGTACTTAACGCTGTTTGTTGGACCCTTGGGGATGTTCGTGCACCAAAAGTCTTTTCATTGTTTGTATTCTGATTAAAATGATTAGATGTTTGTGATTGCTGCTGTTGATAATTCCTAGCTGTCGATCTAAAACCGGTATTCCTACTATATTGTTCAGTTGCACTATCAGTTCCTGCACTTGTAGACCCAAATTGAACGTGATACTCTTTTAGAGTAGTACTTTTTTCTTGAACATTATTCTTTGAACTATAATCGAAGCTATTTTTCTGATTATGCTCAACTCTTTTAGAATTCCTTCTAGGCTCTGCTTGTCCATAATTATTATTAATATAATTCCCTGTCTCTTTGTCAATATCTTTTTTATATTGTTTTGACTTACTTGTAGTTTGATAGTTGTCGTAATTATGATTTGGATGTCTTGTTTGTTGTAGATTATTAAAATTATTAGCCAAATGTCTGTTATTTGATTCTGCTTGCTCTATTTGTTGTTCTATATCGTTATTATCAGGGATTCTATGATTTCTGATGCGTAAATCAATGTCTGGGTTAACTGGATAATCTTTGCCATTTTTAGTAGCTCTCACTGAAGATCTTTCTTCCATACGCATAACAGCTCCATGATTATTTTTTTGTGCATCTAAAAATTAAGGTTTTATTCAAATATTGACTACAAAATAAGCTTACCATTATATGGCGGCACTCTTCTTCCAGATTTCCTTCTGGCATTGTCATTTTGCAGTCTCTCAGCGCTTGAGGCATACAAACTAGGCGAATCAGTACAATTAACTTTGTTCCACCATTCGCAAATTAAGTCAGATTGTTGGAAAATTGTTCCATTAGGACATAGGAACGATACCTTTTTGCCTTCTTCGCAAATGTGGAAAACCTGACAATTAGTGTCAAGATCCGCATAGTATCCAGACTCGATTCCTTTACAGCTGAAAGGTGTTCTTGGAATGAAAGAGTACACTGGAAAGTCCAAACCAGGTCTACCTTCAACTCCTTGAAAGTATTGGAAAAACTCGTGGTCTGTGTTTTGGGCATAGTGGTTATTGTCCAGCTCATTGTCAGCTTCTAAGCTATAGACGAGCTACAATAATTTAGATATTGATTTGGGAATAAAAATTTAATAATAAGACTTACCATTGGTCTGATGCAGTAAGCTGCGTAGAAAGTTATGGCTAGACCTGAAATTTATAACAAATGTAAGTTTAATTGCTTTGCATCTTAGTACTAAAAGCATCATGAGTATTTTCACACCTAACACAAAGCCAATAAAATTAATTACCGAGGAAAAAATTAGCTTAATCAATCAGGAAGGTGCATTAACGCCCGCGTTTTCCATCAGGATTAATTTTTATTGAGATACCAAAGTAACTCTCCCATAATAATAATAATTATGACTTAGTTGTATAACGTGATGAAATCTTAATGCTATTAAAATTATATTAGGATTTACTTTATTAGGAAGCCAATTTTTAATGTTTTAAATTGAATTTTTCAAACTCTATCGCAATCCCCAATGATGATGATACAGCATTTCCTTCTATATTCTCATCAATGAAAAGAAGAAATAAATAATAAAGGCGAGATTGCCATCTAAACGGCCTTTAGCTTTGATGGTTTATTTCACCTAGAAGTGATGCAACGGACATAAATCCGCTAAAATATTTCGGTAAAACAATTGGATTTGTTTCATCAACTCGGCGTGCCAGTCAGAAACCTATTCTACTGGATTTCCGGTCATTAAGGCAAATTAACAAGGGATGGATACTTTTAAGACGGATTGCGATTGTCTGCAATCGGTTATTTGTTGATATTAGTATTAGCATTGTATATTAGGTAAAGTATAAGTGCTGATTTTACGGTGTTATTATGTGTATATGTAATATCAGATTTAAAGATTACATGGACAGGATGCTTCGTGAAATGTTGTGGGTAATTGAAGCAAAGTTTTATATTTCCTGTTTATATTCCGTTGTACCTATCTATTTCAGTTGTTAGAGGCTTATAAAAACAATATAAAATTATTCAAAATTCTTCCCATTGTCACTCAGCCACCTCGCCTAGTTTTTACGGCGGGTACTCTGTGCTTTGAACACTCCCGTTTACCGTGATAGACGATTCACTCACTTTCGAAACGGGTGCTCTGTTTTTTACACTTCCGATCACGATTCTCGGCTTGGTACTTCTAGTTGGTCCCGATGAAGTTGTTTCCTTTGATGGCTCGGTCCCCATTTCTACAGATGTTCCAGTCTCCTCTAAGGTATACACTATCTGCACAGGGCGTAGCAACATTCCATTTAGAGTAGAGACACGCACCAGACGTACTGCACCATCTTTCCCGGCAGAACCTCGGTGATCCGACCAAGTGGCCAGTCAATTCTTTTATAATCATTACCAACTAGCACAATTTCGCCGACTTTAACTTTTCTAGATGCCTTAACACTCGTGGTGTTTAGAAGTTGTCCAAGGTATTCATTACAGAATCTAAACCTCAAATCATCCCAAATCTTCCGTATTCGCCTTACCTTCCGACACAATTATGATCGATCTACCACTTCATATTTAGGCAAAGTACCTTCGAACAAGTCGCGTGAATACATATAACTGGTGTAAGTGGTACCAATGCACTGGCGCCGAAATATACGTTAGAGGTCTGGAATTTACTATTTGCTCACAGTCACATCACGGTTAGTGAGTCCTCATAAGTGAGCGCCACACGTCCAAGAACTTTCCGCAATAATCTTTTTATAATGCCGACAAGGCGTTCCGAGAACCTACCCCACCAAGCTGCTATTGGAGAGTTAAAACGCCATGTTATTCGCTCCAAGCACGGCTGCATTTTTTCTGAACAAGCAATCCAGCGAAATTGCAGTTTCTTGAATAAATTATCTGTGCCGACAAAATTAGTTCCATTGTCACAGTATACTACTTTCGGTCTTCCTGTTCGAGCAACAAATCTTCTTAGGGTTTTCACTCAGTTGACAATGAACTGGCTAGTTCCAGGTGCACCGCTCTATAAAAGCCACATGTGAAAATACAGATCCCCAGACCTTTTCAACTGTATAAAGGACCAGCAAAGTCCACACCAGTAACTTCAATAGCTGACACATCCCTTACTCGATCTGCAGGGAGAGGTGGACTCTGGACTTGGCTACTCTTGAATGCCTGCCTCCGACACACTACAGATTTTGAAATTACACTTTTGATGTACCTTTGTCCACCCAATATCCAGTACTTTTCTATCTGTAAGCCCAATAAACCCTGCACTCCAACATGACCAGACTTCCTATGGGTGTCAAAAACGAGCCGCTCAATCACAATATGACGAGATGGCAGTACTGTATGCGAAAAAGCTCGGTATCTTCACGAAAAACTTTCACTTTGTACAGTTCGCAAAACGGAAATTTCCGCTTGGTTCATTTCTTCAGCGGATAGCTCACCAACGCGTTTATCCTATAGATGTCTCACATTAGGTACGAATCTGAATATCCAACCAATCATACGAATAGTTTTGATAAAACTTGAAAAATATATCAAATGCCATTCCGCTGCTCCCTTAACTACTTCGGAGTTATTTAAACTCTTAGTCACAACACCTTTTTTCTTTTCAGCAAAAATCTCTGCTTCATTATAGGTGACAATTTCGTGAGGCCAAAAATTGGGATTTTCATAAAGCCAATTAGGACTTTCCCATCATTTAGATTTCGTGGTGAACAGCCTCGTGATGGAAGGTCGGCTGGGTTTTGGGATCCAGGAACATGACGCCAGCTGTCCGTAGTGGATGTCTTTCTGATCTCAGTCATCTATTACATACAAAGTTACACCTCCCTTCATTTCTCTTAATCCATGACAATACTGTTGTTGAATGTGTCCAGAAAAAAACACTCAAATAATTTGAATTCAAGAGCCTTTTCCTCAGAATTGCACAATCTAGTACCAATAACTACCGTCAGCAACTCCATTCGAAGTATAGTCACAATTTTTATTGGCGCAACTCAATTTTTTGCAGCTAAAAGAGTAATATGACTTGTATCCTGATAAGCACACCTCAAAAAGACCGCCGTACCGTAGGCCCTTTTCCTTGCGTCGCAAAACGTGTGTAAACTCATTCTAGTTCCTTCACCAAACGCATATATTCAATGAGGAACTTGCATGTCAACCAAAATGGGCTAAGCTTCTATCCAATCTCGGAATGACTGAGCCAATGATAACATGATCCTCTTGGTAACTGGCTTATATAGTCATAAATAACTCCAGATCTCCAAGACATTCTCAACTGATACTCAAAGTATCATCACGATTATTCCAAGCAAGTCCCAGGAGAGGAATTGGTTTATCAGAACTATATCTGAAACAATTTGTGTTGGACAAGAAAACTCCCACCCTCTCAAATCAAACTGTGCTTGTGCCAACATCATGCTGGATTCCCGTATAAGTTTGTGAAGTTTCTAGATCCGGTGGACTGGTTACACAGTTGTCCACATAGAAACTCTTCGCTAAAATTGAGAGCAAGGAATGGTCAAATTCAGAAGTATCTTCATTATGTTTTTCGACTTCTAACAGAAGGTGATAGTTGATGGTGGCAGCTAACAAAAAAGGGCACCAAAAACAACAAGTCTGTGTCTGTAAGATAAATGTACTGAATTCTGACAGGTTAAGGAACCTGCGAATTTAGTATAGACTAGTCTCAAAATAAGTAAATTTACACTTTTTGAATGTATTGAATAATCCAAGCTGGATGCATGTACATGTATAACGACTATTATTTGTAGTCCTTTATAAATGTATCTAATTCAGACCTCAAACATAGAACTCTACCCAAATTATGACACCTAGTGGATTCTAATAATGACATCGTTCCTAAATGTAACACATCTGTACCCAATTCTGACAACCAAATATTTGGCCAAGTGAATTATCCACTACTAATATTGACTCCTCTTCTGACGTTAAAACTGTCCGGAGCACCTGGTGTACATTCTACAGGATATTTTCCGATTTTCTTATAATGTAATAATGTAGTTTTTGGAATGTTGAATGTTTTACTTGCAGTTTTTACAGGCATGCCGTTTGCTATGAATTCCAACGCCAATTTTAACGTATTGGATCATACCGACGATTTTTTTTCTTCTCTGACATACTTGAATAAGTACTAAGGTACTTAGTAAGTATCCACTACTACTACTACTACCACTACTACAAAAAAAAAACGGAAATTTCCTTATAGTATAATTACTCCTAAACCTGACCCACTAATTTCCTAATTATGACCCCTGTCAGAATTAGCGTGTAAAGTTTTAAGGGTAAATTGTAAACATTTTGGACAAAAGAAATAACATCATCATCATTTTAGTACTGAAAACAAAGACGAACATGTTTTATGTTTGGCACCTAATTCTGAGACACAGGGGTCAGAATTAGGGAACGATGTACCATCGTCACCAAAAGTAACTGGGACACCATCACATTAGCTCTTATCCTATTATATGAATTTTATTGTCAAATATTTGTCAAACTATAAATTAAATGCATTGAAATGAATGACAGTAGAATTAGTCCAGGAGATTATTATGCATTATTTGTGTCCCAGATACTTTTGGTGGCGATGGTACCTGTACCATATAAAGGATTTTTTAGCGACTAGCTGTTTGTAACCGTGTTATAAAAGGTAACTGAAAATCTCTAACCGTTGAAATTTTAGCGAGGCAGCTGTAATAGGGGAAGTTATTATGACGTCAATAGAGGAGATCAATGACGTCACACATTTATAACACGGTTTAAATTCAGTAACCTATCTAGGACCTGGGTTACTGGCGGTTATGGGCGGTTATAGAACATTTGACAGTTCAATTTTATTCAAATATGGGCGTTTGGGTTTGTTTACCTTACACTAACGTCAAACCCGAAAATTAGAAAATCAAAATATTATTGCGGGATGTGGACGTGGGTTTCTGGTTGTTAGTTAAAACGTAAAAGGTAAAAAAAAAACCTCAGTAAGGTAGAACGTGTAATATCCAATCCATTCCTTGGAGATCCGGAGGACCAACATAGCAGAAAATATTGAAATTTTAACTGAAGTAACTTTAAACAATGAAGGGGAGGACTACACCGTCTGTGTTCCGTTAGACCTTACGAATATACTTCTTAGGGCCAGTTTCTCAATAGCTAGTCACCTCCGGGT